CCCCCCCCCCCCATACACTCCAGTAGTTATGTAGGTTAATTGAGGTTAATATTTGAGTTATCGGGGTTGTTAATAGTATCGGAATATCGTAAATGTATGTTGCTTTTTTATGACATAACACACGCCCTTTGTGGAAATCATAGTTGAAGGGACTATAAATATAGTTTTACCACTACATACCTACCTCGTAAAGAAAAAACTATTCTAAAACGTTTTACGCGTTTCACCCTTTTTTCCGCGTTTTACCCTCTTTTCCGCGTTTTACCCTTTTTTCCGCGTTTTACCCTCTTTTCCGCGTTTTACCCTCTTTTCCGCGTTTTACCCCCTTTTCCGCGTTTTACCCTCTATTCCGTTTCCGCTTTTCCGGTTCCGCCAGTCCGTTCCGTTTCCGCGTTTTACCCCTACCCTCATGAGGAGCCGCACGTTTTGAAAACCAGCGGCCATTTGCAAACTGAGTTTGCATTTTTGAGGAAGCGGGTGCAGCTTACCCACCAACAATTAACGCTATGCGATGTCATCAATCCAGGAGAAACTGCTCAAACACAGTGTGAGATCAAACATGTGTCAACAATCAAGCCATTTATTTGTACTAAACTGTACCTAAAATATCATATAACAATTTACAATTTATTCAAAAACCGATCTTGCAGCCAAGAAGCTGAATTACAACGGTTACATTTTACAAAAGAAAGGTTTAAGTTAATTATACTAACTATTACTGCTTAAAAATACTGAACATAATAAAATAATTGTAACTTTAAGTTAATGGGACTGTCTATTTCAATTAATTAAATTAAACTATCTATTAATGTATTTAAGAATGTATAATTACAGTTAAAACTAACAGTTATTTTCGAAATATATAAAATCCTCAGTGACTGCTGCTTTAATTATTAGAACTAGCAGCAATTATAAAAGACTTTTTAAATCGTTCAGTCTTACATTTGGGAATTTTAAAAGTTCTCGAAGTTCTCAGGGAATACGCTACGTCAGTATTCGGATCTGGTAGGAGTGGGTGCAATTTGTGATTTTTATCTTCCATTATTTCTTTGAAGAGTTTGTCGCACGCAATTTGACGTCTCGCTTCAAGAGTTAGAAGCTTAGAATGGGAGAGCGCTTCGGCATATGATTTGGTGGGAAATATTATTTTCATGGCTCGTCGCTGGATTCGTTCAATGTCTTTACACAGATATATGGGAATTCCATAATGAAAGACAGGAGATGCGTATTCGACAACTGGTCGGATACAAGTGCAGTAGAAACACATCGTCTCAGTGGTAGACACTTTGGCACGTTTCAATTGTCGCAAAAAGTACAATCTCTTTGATGCCTTTTTAACAATATTATGAATATGACTATTCCACTTAAGGTCGCTGCTGATAGTCAAACCCAAAACTTTACTTTGGAAGACCAAGTCTACCTGTTTACCGTTGATTGTCACAAGGGGAGGCTGCTGGTAATTAGTGTTGTATCTGCTAAATTGTATTCGCATCTCTTTACATTTGTTCTCGTTGAGGGTAAATTTCAGGGTGTTGGATTGGTTTTGGATATCATCGACCTCGGATTGAATATTACTATCCACTCCTCTGGGTATTACCTCGGCTAAAGTCGCATCGTCCACGTATTTCCAGAGGTTGTTACTGACTGTGTTGAGGTCATTGATCATAAGAATGTATAACCAAGGACCGAGTTTGGTTCC